GAGACAGCTGAGGGGGGATCAACAGAGACATGAGAACAGGATGGAGACACCTGAGGGTACATAGACACATGAGGACAGGATGAGACAGCTGAGGGGGGATCAACAGAGACATGAGGACAGGATGGAGACACCTGAGTGTAGATAGAGACATGAGGACAGTATGAGACAGTTGGGGGGGGGGGGGGGGGGGGGGGAGGGGGGGGGGGCATGATGACAGGATGTGGACATGTTTACGTCTAGCAGATTATTCCAGTCCTCTTACATACCAAGCAGCACCGACACCACCGTGGCGATGAGGAGCCAGTTCTTCCTCAGCAAGCCTTTATAATTCATGCTCCGTCGCTCCTTGTTCATCATGTCGCTGCTGCTCCTCTTTGATTCCTTCAGAACAAAGAAGAGGACAAAAACATCTACACGTAGGGAGGATTCTACTACTGTCCCCCTGTGGAGACGCAAAGATCTTTCTGCGGACGAGATGTGAGCAGCAGACAAACCAGAGGAGGAGGAGGAGGAGAAGGAGGAGGATGAACGCGCTTTACAGCAAAGGAGGCAGCTCTGCTCTGACGACTGTGTGTGTGTGTGTGTGTGGGGGGGGGGGGTGTGTGTGTGTCTCGCTCCCTCCTTCTCCCAGCCCCTCCCCCACCTCTCTCCCACACACCTTTACTGTTACAGTGTTGGCAGCTGATGATGGGGAAGGTTTGAATGAATAACAAGTGAAGCGTCCAACTTTCAGAATAGGAACAAGAAACTCTGACAGGGCAAGCGGGAGGGGTCCATTCTGTCTAAATAATATTTAACCGTGAGACTTCAACTAAAGTGTGATATCATCAAAGAATGTACCACTGAACTTGTCATATTTGGGTAATACATATTGTACTTTCCCCCTCCCTGGGTTGCCACCTTACTGTGGTGGAGGGGTTTGAGTGTCCCAATGATCCTAGGAGCTATGATATCAGGGGCTTCATGCCCCTAGGGTCACCCAAGGCAGACAGGTCTTAGGTGAGGGACCAGACAAAATGCAGCCCAAAGACCCCTTATGATGAGAAAAATAAATGGAAACAATGTTCCCTTGCCTGGACATGGGTCACCGGGGCCTCACTCTGGAGCCAGGCCTGGAGGTGGGGCACGCTGGCGAGCGCCTGGTGGCCCGGCTTTCACCCATGGAGCCCAGCCAGGCACAGCCTGAAGAGGAGATGTGGGTCCCTTTCCCATGGGCTCACCACCTGTGGGAGGGGCCAAAGGGGTTGGGTACAATGTGGGATGGGTGGTGGCTGAAGGCGGGGGACCTTGGCGGTCTTATCCTCAGCTACACAAGCTGGCTATTGGGACATGGAATATCACATCTCTGGTGGGGAAGGAGCCTGAGGTGGTGTGTAAAGTTGAGAGGTTCCGGCTAGAAATAATCAGACTCACCTCGGCGCATGGCTCTGGCTCTGGAACCAGTTTCCTTGAGAGGGGTTGGACACTCTTCCACTCTGGAGTTGCCCCTGGTGAGAGGCGCCGAGCAGGAATGGGCATACTTGTTGCCCCCATCTTGATTGCCTTTACATTGGGGTTCACCCCGGTAAACAAGAGGGTAGCCTCCCTACGTCTACGTGTGGGGGGCTGGGTTCTAATTTTATTTGTGCTTATGCGCCAAATAGTCTTTCAGATTACCCACCCTTTTTGGAGTCCTTGGAGGGGGTACTGGAGAGTGCACCTCCTGGGGGCTCCCTTGTTCTGCTGGGGGACTTCAACGCTCACGTGGGCAATGACACTGAGACCTTAAGGGGTGTGGTTGGGAGGAACATCCCCCTTGATCTGAACCAGAGTAGTTCTGTTATTGGACTTCTGTGCTCATCATGGATTGTCCATAACGAACACCGGGTTCAGGAATAAGTGTGTCCATATGTGCTTTTGGCAACAGGACACCCTAGGCCGCAGTTCAGTGATCGACTTTGTTGTCATCTCATCTGACCTGCGGCCACATGTCTTGGACATTCAGGTGAAGAGCAGGGCAGAGCTGTCCACTGACCACTACCTGCTGGTGAGTTGGCTCCGATGGTGGGGGAGGATGCCGGTCAGACCTGGCAGGCCCAAACGTTATGGTGAGAGTCTGCTGGGAATGTCTGGCAGAGTCTCCCATGAGACGAAGCTTTAACTCCCACCTCCGGAAGAGCTTCGAACACGTTCTGGGGGAAGTGAGGAGCATTGAGTCTGAGTGTACCATGTTCCACGCCTCTATTGTCGAGGCGGCTTTTTGGAGCTGTGGCCGCAAGGTTGTTGGTGCCTGTCGAGGCAGTAACCCTCAAACCCAGTGGTGGACACGGGCAGTGAGGGACACTGTCAGGCTGAAGAAGGAGTCCTATCAGGCCTTTTTGGCCTGTGGGACCCCGGAAGCAGCTGAGGGGTACCAGCAGTCCAAGCAGCAAGCGGCTCGGGTTATAACTGAGGCAAAAACTCGGGTGTGGGAGGAGTTCAGAGAGGCCATGGAGAATGACTTCCATTCCATACGGCTTTGAGGCAATTCTGGTCCACCAGCTGACATCTCGGGGGGAAAAGCGGTACACCACCAACATTGTTTAATTGATTGTTAAATGATTGTTTGTTAAATCATGTTTCTTCCAATTGAGGCGGCTGTCTAAACTGAAGCCCATATTGTCCAAAAATAACCTGGAGACAGTAATACATGCATTCATTACATCTAGGCTTGATTACTGCAATTCGCTCCTGTTTGGTATCAGTCAGACATCCATAGCACGACTACAACTTGTCCAGAATGCAGCAGCCTGATTTTTAACCAGTACAGGCAAAAGAGAGCACATTACTCCAGTTTTGGCCTCACTGCACTGGTTACCGGTTCACTTTCGAATCCAGTTCAAAATACTCATGTATGTCTACAAATCACTGAACAGTTTCACGCGCCGCCCCCCCCCCCCCCCCATCTCTCTGATCTGCCACAACCGTATGTCCCACCACGTTCCTTGAGGTCAGCGGACCAGTTGCTCCTCACAGTTCCAGGAACTCGTCTTAAGTGCAGAGGTGACAGGGCCTTCTCTGTAGCAGGACCAAGACTCTGGAACGAGTTACCTCTGCTTGCCAGACAGGCCCCCTACCTCTCGGTTTTCAAGTCCCGCTTAAAAACCCACTACTATTCAGTAGCTTTCAACACCAGATGATCTGTGTTTTGAATCTGTACGCTCCACATTAGTTAGGCGTCATTATCTGCATCGTTTTTATGTCTATATTCTGATTTACTTCATTTTGTATTTTGCTTTGTGTGTTGTCTGTTGTTCTGTCTGTACAGCACTTTGGTTGGCCTTGATACTGTTTTAAGTACTATATAAAAACAATGGTATGGTATGGTATGGTATGGTATGGTATGGTATGGTATGGTATGGTATGTTTATAGTGGAGGTGGTGTACTGCTGACCTCAACTCAGGATGTCATGGGTAGATGGGCAGAATACTTCGAAGACCTACTCAATCCCACCAGCACATCTTCCACTGAGGAAGTGGAGCCTGGGGACGTTGGGTCGGGCTCTCCAATCTCTGGTGCAGAGGTCACTGAGGTAGTTAAAAAGTTCCTCAGTGGCAGGGTCCCGAGGGTGAATGAGATTCGCCCAGCGTTCCTTAAAGCTCTGGATGTTGTAGGGTTGTGTTGGCTTACACGACTCTGCAATATTGCATGGACATTGGGCAGTTTCGTTAGATTGGAAGACCAGGGTGGTGGTCCCCCTATTCAAAAAGGGGGACCATCGAGTGTGTTCCAACTACAAGGGGATCATGCTCTTAAGCCTCCCTGGTAAGGTCTATTCAGGGGTCCTAGAGAGGAGGGTCCATCAGATAGTCGAACCTCGGATTCAAGAGGAGCAATGCGGTTTTTGTCCTGGTCGTGGAACACTGGACCAGCTCTACATCCTCAGCAAGGTCCTGGATGGTGTAGGGGAGATTGCCCAACCAGTCTACATGTGCTTTGTGGACTTGAAGAAGGTGTTCATCCGCGTCCCTCGGGGAACCCTGGGGGGGTACTCCAGGAGTATGGGGTACCAGGCCCTTTGATATGGGTTGTTAGGTCCCTGTATGACCGGTGTCAGAGCTTGGTCCGCATTGCCGGCAGTAAGTTGGGCTCATTCCCGGTCAGAGTTGGACTCAGCCAAAGTTGCCCTTTGTCACCGATTATGTTCATAACTTTTATGGACAGAATTTCTAGGTGCAGCCAAGGTGTTGAGGGGATCCGTTTTGGTGGCCTTAGGATCACTTCACTGTTTTTTGCAGATGATGTGGTCTTCTTGGCTCCATCAGGTCGTGATCTACAGCTTTTGCTGGAGCAGTTCACAGCCGAGTGTGATGCGGCTGGGATGAGGATCATTTCCTCCAAATCCGAGGCCACGGTCTTGAGCCGGAAAAGGGTAGAGTGCCCTCTCTGGGTTGGGGAGGAGGTCCTGTCCCAAGTGGAGGAGTTCAAGTATCTTGGGGTCTTGTTCACGAATGAGGGAAAAATGGAGCAGGAGATCGATAGGCAGATAGGTGCGGCATCGGCAGTGAAGCAGGCACTGTATCGGTCTGTCGTGGTGAAGAGAGAGCTGAGTCAAAAGGAAAGTTCTCAATTTACCGGTCGAAATACGTTCCTACCCTCATCTATGGTCATGAGCTTTGGGTTGTGACCGAAAGAACAAGATCACGGATACAGGCGGCCGAAATGAATTTTCTCCACAGGGTATCTGGGCTCTCCCTTAGAGATAGAGTGAGAAGCTCAATCATCTGGGAGGGACTCAGAGCAGAGCCGCTGCTTCTCCACATCGGGAGGAGCCAGTTGAGGTAGCTCGGGCATATGGTTAGGATGCCTCCTGGACACATCCCTGGTGAGGTGTTCTGGGCATGTCCCACAGGGAGGGGACCCAGAGGAAGACCCAGGACATGCTGGAGGGACTACGTTTCTCGGCTGGCCTGGGAATGCCTTGGGATTCCCACAGAGGAGCTGGCCCAAGTGGCTGGGGAGAGGGAAGTCAGGGCCTCCCTACTTAATCTGCTATCCCCACGATCTGACCCTGGATAAGCGGAAGAAAATGGATGGATGGATGGACATATTGTACCAAGGGTTCAGAGTTTCGGAAACCTTAAGATTCACTGGGGATGAGGTAAAACGATAAGTACTTTTGTTAAGTGGGGGCCCAATTATGGTCAGCGACAGGAGGACTGGTTGTGTTCTTTCTAAGTCTGGGGGAGAACGAGCTAAGATTTCATGTCCTATAGAGTGTCATTTTTGGTAATAACATTTTATACCTAGAGTTTTATAACTGGAACCAGGAAGACGGGTAATAAAAGTGAGTGGTTTATTTACAAATAAATGGGAACAGGAGTGTGGGTGGATCTGCGGGTGATAGGAGATTAATTCATTCAACCTTTAACAGGCTAGTCCCATTGAGCCACGAGGACTCATTTACAAGAGAGACCTGAGATGGTAAGTATATAATTGTAAATATATTTTGCAGGAGCTTTAATAGCAAATATACCTTGCATTTGGTGTACAGATGGTTGTAAGTGTTGTTTCCTTTATGGGAATCTCCAGCCAGAGACAGGAACAAGTTGTGCCGGGT